AGAGAGAGAGAGAGAGAGAGAGAGAGAGAGAGAGAGAGAGAGAGAGAGAGAGAGAGAGAGAGAGAGTTGAGGGGGAGGTGAGAGCAGGTAGCACCATGAAGTACACATGGAAAAACTTTGAAAAGGTGTCGTTGTTGTTGAACGAATGGTATTGAATATTGCGCCTGCCATGTGCCTGATGATTGATTGATTGATTGATCGTTTGATTGATGGGTTGGTTGACTGATTGATTGATTGCTTGATGAACTTTCTCAGGACATCTCGTTGCAGTCTCTGAATGATGGGAACAGTACTCTCATGGAGTCTTTGCGAGCGACCGAAGAGGAGTTATACAAGGCCAGAGAGGAAGTTAGATGGGCTCGTGCGCAGGTGGAGAGTGCGAACGAGATGGCCTCTGCTGCCCGCAACGAAGCCACTCATCACATTTCTCTGTTGGTGGGTTGTTTGACAACTTTGACTTTGGTTGTGCTTGGCCTTAAAATTGTTGTGAATGGTATTAAATACAACTTTTCTAACATATATAACTTATTGTTGTACCTGACCTTAAAATTGCCATGAATACAGTTCTTATAACGCATTACAACTTATAAGGATAAATATAATGGCTTTTGCTGCCCGCACTGGGGGCCGACGTGGCATCTATGTTGAGGTGGCACTAACTTGCCAGACCCATTTACGTGTCCAGATTGTTGATCACTGCTAAAGGAAGTGATTGAGCAGTTACAACCAGGACAGGAGGTGGGCTTGGAAGCAGTCATCCTTTGAAGAACGCCTAATGCCCTGATACCATTGCTTGGAATATGCCAAGCTTTTTCCGGCAATTTGAACAAACACGTACTCGCCTGCCTTTAGTTTGGTGTCGCCTTGTTGGCATTGCCTTGTTGGCGTTGCCTTGTGCCTTGCTGCATGGTTGCTATGCTGCTTGTTCGCTCGCCCTGCTGTTCCTTGCAGTAGTCTTTGCGGTTGTGCAGTCAGGTTGCTCCTACAACACCGCCTGGTGCTTCGTTGAGTAGTTGCGTGCTGCTTTGTGTGTGGATGAGGTGTTTGTGTTGCCTTGTGCTTCACTGCGCTGTTGTCATGCTGCTCGGCCGCTTGCCCTGGCGTTCCTTCCTGCCGTTTTTGGCACCGTGCAGCCTTGTTGCCTCTACTGCATTGCCTGGTGCTCCGCAGGGTTGCTGCCTGCTGCTATGTTCCACTTGGGGACAGTCTGCCTTCAACAATGGGTCGAAGGGTTCATGACCCAAACCATCAAATACGGCGATTCCGCAGATTGTCAAGGGTTCAGCCTCCTGATGAGTGGGTCTGACAAAACAATCTAGCATCAGTTTTATTTTTTTCGCTTTGTGTTTTTTTTTTTGCTACTTGTTCTTTTGTCTGCTTTGTTGTCATGTTGCCTTGCTGTTTTTCGACTTCCCGTCAGTTCTTTTCTTGCTTAGTGTTGTTTGCCTGCCCACCCCCCTCCCCCATGCTCTCCAGCCTACGTTCTGTGTTGTTGCTTCACCGCGCTATTGCTCCTTCTTGACTTGTTGCCGCCTCATTCTTCTGCCTAGTGTCGTTTGTCCATAAGGGAGGGCGGGGGGGGGGGGAAGGGRGGGGGAATTCCAAAGTCGGCCTAAGGGGGATGCTGGGTCAACCTCTGTCCAATTCTGAAACGTAAGCGGATAAGCCCTTACCAGCTCCACCCCTGCATCCCCCCCCTCCTAACTTGATAAGGATATGGAGAAAATGTTTTCTGGAAAAAGTAAAAAAGTTGTGACAAGACCGGCCAAATTCGCCTCCCTTCAATGGCAGATTATTCACCATTGTTTACCTACAAATGACTGGTTCATTACAGACTGGAGACCAAGCAAGTTTTGCACAACCTTCTGGAGGCGGATATCATGGCCCAATGGCAAAGAACAAGACAGCAAGCTCAGCTAAACCCGGTGAAAGCCCGGGAGGTATTTAAGACTTTTCACCAGATAACGTTGGTAAAAGGAAAGATAGCAACAATTGAAGGATACAGATTAGCCTTCCATTGGTTCGAGAATAAGGATCAACGGGGGCGGGACTAGAGTGTTGGGCTCGTAAGGGTATCACTTCAGTCCGGATAGAAAAAGGGGAACAGAGGTGGGTTAAAGGTTTAACATAGCAGAGTAGGGCTATGAAACACCCGCGGACGCGTCCGCGGGGCCGAGCTCGGAGGGCGGACGTATTCACGGCCGCCTCCGCGGCCTACCGGGTCCGCGCCGCGGACCCGATTTTACCAGATTTTTCCTGAATTAAATAATAGCCCAAAAAAAAATTAAAAAAATTGGGGTTGTAGGGAATTTTAAGCCCTACAACCCCATATTTGTTTTTTTGGAATTCGACTTTGTTTAGGATTTTTAAAAATCAAAACCTAAATTCGATTTAAAGAAAATTAAAAAAAGAAAAGCTGGAATTTTTTTTGGTCATTTTTTATCATCAGATATATGGTCCCTGAGTTCACCTGTATTTTTTAGAAATGAATTTCTATTTTTTGCAGGGGTATGAGGTGTTTTAGAAAAACAAGCGGACCCCCCGCAGCTACGCTGCGGCGCAGAGGAGGGGGCGGAGGGCGTGACGGAAGCGTCGTTTTTGTAGCGGCACAGTAATTCCGTGTGCGGATTGCACAGGATTTGCAAGCGAGTTCAGGATGTTGTCGTGTTCCAGTGATTGGAATGGTTGATGATATGCAAAGAGTGTGAAGAGATAGTATGCGAAAGTCTTCAGTATGGTGGATGCACTGTTCTTGTATGCAGCAAAAGTTGGAAAAGTAAAGATAAACTGAATTGCAAAATCAAGCACCAAAAATGTCAATTATTATTGCACTTACATCTGGATTTTTGGGTTTGTTTTTTTTTTTCTTTTTTTTCTGGGACATTCGTTGATCCTTACACAGGCTGCCTATTCGGGATTCAGATACCGTTATCCCGATATACCATTCTGACGCTCTCCCACTACTACCATGATTCCCTCACTGTTGTGTTGATCCCGATTGGTCCCTCAGCACATATGATACGCATACATCGAGAAATACTAAAAAAAAAAAAAAACAAACTGTCTCTTCCTTTCGCTCTTCCAAAAGCCAAGCGCAAATCATTCGACGAAAAGTGAATGGATGAGAGATTGGAAAATGGCGGGGGKTGGGGRGRGTAGAGAAGGAGGAGGAAGCGGTTGAAAAGGACAATGACACGAGAGGGGGAGTGTTGCATACTCCAATGAGTATGGGCAGAACCAAGAATCAACCAATGTAGGATGAGTATAGATGCAACGGAAGTCTGATAAACGGACTGACTCACATAGACTGACTCACATAGCATCACTCCACACACAT